GTCTGAGTAAAGAAAATTGGAAGTTGTTATGTTACATTTATGAAAACGTCAAATTCGGAAAATAAATGGTTTCTTTTACAGGCAAACTCTATATTTCCATCCATTATAAAAATTAATTTGAAAGGCTACATTATGTAAATAGCTAGTTAGACGCGTAGTCATATAAGCCGCGTAGGGTATTAGTTATTTCCTCAAGTAATGAATTGGAAAAAATTAATTGCATTTTAAATGGGAAACAATCAATAAGTTGTGCTTGAGAAAGTGTTTTCATAAATTGAAAAGTGAAAAGCAGAAAGTGTATCTAATATAAAACGGTATCAAAATAAAAATAGTTTCAAAACAAGGCGAAAGTTATTTGTATAACAATACTTAAACTTTGTTTAAGGGTTTGAAATTGTGTGGTAAATTGCCATTAAAAAAGTAAAGAAATGTTTTGTGGTTGGATGGAAAAAGTCACATTTCAACAGATATCTGAGGATAATTATCCTTTAATGGTTCTGTAAATTCCTTTCTCAAACTCTTTCAGCTCAACTTTTCAAAAGGTAGAACCAATAAAAAAGTTTTTACAAAGAACCAAAGGAGCAAGTTCGACTGAACGTAAAATAAGTAACTATTTTAAACTCCTTTCTCCTAATTCTATAAAACGAACAAAGTGATTAAGGAAAAGGTTTGCAGTATTAATGATATGGTACGCGTAACACTTCGCCTCGGTTAAAGAGTTGTTAAAGGAGGTTTTCAAACGGAAAATAGCTTGAGCAACTTTAGAGTGGAGATACATTTTTAAACTTCTCTTTTCTGGTCGGTCGCTGGGCTCAACTATAAACCGTTTCCAGCAGCCTTATTGCTTAAACAGTTGAAGAGAAATTTTATGAAAGTTGTTCTGAAAGATACCCCAGTAAAGAATATTAAAATGTTGCGGAAGCCAGCAGAGTGCTTGTAATTCTGTTCTATTTGCCAGGCGAAATGATTTAACTGCCTGCTTATTAGATTTTTCAGTCGTCGGAATAGGATGCAACTTTTTGTCACAGCATGGAAAATAGCTTTGTGGGGACTCAGAATTTTACTTCATTAATTAGTTGATAATTAATAGTAGCGAAACGTCATGCAATTCGAACATTTATTCAAACTTGAAGGATTTTAATTTTGTCTAAAGTCGTATATTTTTGGAACGGTTCAGTGCAAAGAATCAATGGAAAGTCAATATTGCGAAAATCAGAAGACAGTTGTAGCAGATGTTGAATTAATACCCGTCGCTGTTTTTCACTTCACTGAACTCTGAAAGTTTAAAAACATGAGCACCTGTTTACGGATTTCAGTAAGCTGCAAGTTCTTCAGATTTTAAATATGTAGTCCTTTTTATTAAAATATAGGTACGGGTGGTAACTTTCGAAGCAATTCTGAATTTCCAGATGAAGAATTGTTGAATATTACTTTACGTGGAGTACAGTGAACATAAATATAATCGGTAAAATGGATTTTCAGAGATTAGAAATCTAAACTTGAATTGGCATATATTTTCAAAGGGATTATTTTTTTAAAACCCACCCTTGCAAATTTTGCTTTATTGAGTAATCGAAAACCGTAGATTCTTTGATTTAGAGAAATATATTGCCAAAATTCAGTCAACTGCCAAAAAAATTTTTATTTGATTTAGACGAATGCATAATTTTTCCGTTTTATCTAATTAATTAGTTGATTCTTAAATGTTTTAACGCAAATTTCAATAGACCGACTAGTTTGCCATTGACGGAAAATAAGAGTCGACTATACGAAATGTGCAACATATTAATATCAGGCTAAAACAAGAACTTCAATGATGGAGTTCGAGCAACATTTGAATCAGATAAATTGCACTAAATTCCATTATTTTGGCTTCTTTATTCTAAATAACTCACCCATTCATTACCAAGCATCTGTATACCTATAGTGTCACTTTAACTGAAAAAATATTTCAGGAGAAACTGTTTTATGAATATTTAGCTCATTGGCATGGTTTCCAAGTTTAGCTCAAACAAAAATCTACTATAAGACGAAAACCCCAACTTTCATGTATTTAAATTGAATAATTTACACAAAAACTGTGTGCTTTTAAACTTGTGGTTACTCGACATGCTATGGCAAATTTCTATTACATCAACCTAAGGTTTTCATCCGATCAAAACAAGCCAGAACCAACAGACAGATTTAAAAAGTGATGAGAAATGGTTTAGAAGCGAATGGTTGAATGAGAAATTTGCGAAACCTCTCAGAGTATCAGCAAGCCATGAAATTAAGCTTTTTGACAAGCGCAACGATTTAAAAAACTAAATTATTTGAGGAAATGCCACAAATAAAGTACACAAAATAAAAAGTCTAAAGTTGGGAGCCGTGAAATTACCGTTTTCCGACGGCGACCCTTTTGACGAATAAGAAATAAAGTAGGAAGCAACCGGGTAACTTTACGGCTGTTGTTAAATAAGGGCAGAGCAGTAGAGGGTGATATAATTTAAGCTCGGACATTTTACAATAAGGTTTTTCTAAATAGTTCTTTCACAATTATGAATTTACCAGGTAATTTATAACAAATAATTGAGAAATAATTCACATTTGTTTTCATACATTATAAATAATACCTGGAATCAATCATGCATTTGAATATTTAAATAATCATTCAGATCTTGAAAAGTGCACAGCGTTATTAAATAGTGCCTGTTATTTCCGTTTTAAGTTGCGAGCAAAAACAAATTAAACGAAAATATCCCATAAAGTTGTGCCCAATCAACAGTATTTACATCTAGAGTTTTCGAAACAGTCTATTGCTCCTATATTTTGCGAAGCAATACAGATGATGATGTCAAAAGTTTTAAAGCAAACCGTAATATTAAACTATAGTTAGAAAAAATATTGAACGTTGTCATTAAAAAACGTTATAGCAAGGAATTGAGAAAATGAAACTTGCCTAATGTGAATATGAAACTTGCCTATAATGAAAATGAAACCTATGTTCATTTACAAACATATTTCTTTTGCATCTAGCATGTGATCTAGTTTTTTTTTATTGTATAACCATTAAATAGAATCTATCCACATTTTGCCATCAATGTGATTTTTCAATCAAATTTTTTATTGTCCTCTAGTGACAAACCAAAAATCTATGTTAAATTAATATAATCGACAATGTCATTTTCGTAAATTTTATGTTGGAAAGTTACATCTAAAATAGAGATTAATTATTTTATATTTTTTACAAACCGATTCGCACAAGTCTGTAAAATTAAATGAAGTTATTTTAAATTGCTAATCGAATCCATGAGCTGAAACTTTGCTTGATGAAATGAAAGTTTTCTATATAACCAAGATAATACATACAAAGCAGTTGCTGACAAATCAACTTACAGCAGTAAATATAATAAGATATTCTGCTATTATAAAATTCGTAAATAAAATAAAGGTCTACCTAACGATAGAATTCAAATGACCGTTTTCTCAAATTTTCAAATAATACAAACGTATAAAGAAAACATAATTTTTAGGTTTCCATTTTGACGATCGATTTTAATAATTACATTAGAGGAAAACCTCACGCCAATATTTAAGGCCATGAATAATAAATGTAAAAAGACGGCACTCGGGACAGCAACTAGTTAATTACAACAGTCGCAAGAAAATGTATAATTCCTGTTCTAACAATAAGAAATTTAGTTACGAAGTTAACCAAAACTCCTATTAGAAATACAACTGAAAATGAATCAGTATACTGAATATTGCGTAATGTTGCACATCTATCCTCGTGTGCATAGAACTACTGAAAAAATTAACTGTTGCTACATAAAGGAAAGGATGTGAGGCATGAGACGAAAAAATGGTAGGACGCTCCATAACGGTTGCTGTTTTCGCACGGTAAAGCAAACTTTCGTCTTGGCCTTAAGGGAAAAAAGCCGACAAAAAGGACAGGGCGAACTTTACAATCAAGCTGAAACTGAACCCTTCGGGAATTTTATTGCACTTGTGTTGGATTTTCTCGGCTTTATCGTTTTGGGAACTAGTTGCATGCTCCTTTTATTCCTTTTATTGCGATAATGTCTTTAGGTAAGGGTTGGCGAGATTTTCATTGTTTTGCTTTGGTCCATGTTTTTCTTACAGATTCCTGTTTCAATTGAGCAACGCCACGTTAATACGTTACTTTGATCATGTTTCCTGCGTATAAGAATTGTACGATAGAAATTCAAAAAAAAATTACCAGTTAAACTAAAAAGAGGAAATTAAACAAATATATTTTCATTAAAAAAATAAATTATTCCTATTACTTAAACTACGTTCTACAATGAATAATCTTAAGTATGTTATGTCAATATAGCAAATTCAACTTCTTTTATGACTATTATCGGAACTATGTACATATTGTAGTAGTTCATACGCCACACATAACAAGTTCAATTTAAAATATTTTAATATAAATGTCCATTTATTTTTCCGTCATTCTTCCTATATTTTATGCTTCATATTTATGGTTTATTATTAACTGAAGCATAAATGCATGTTTTGCAGTTTTTTTTTCATTAATTTCGCCAAATACCTTTGCGACTACCAATCTAATAATTAATTGACACCTCGAAGAGCTTTCATGACAATTATTCCGTCCTGAAATTGACTTTGAGGGTTGAAATAAAACCACTTATTTTACGTTTAAATTTCTTTAATTGTAGTGAGAAAAGAAATCAGTACATGCAAAATAGAACAGTAATTTCAATAGAGCAACAGAATTAAAAATCGATGCGGAATAATATTAACGTTCGCAATTATCAATAAACATACATAATTGTTGAAAATTCCCGCTTTTCAGGTTAAATAACATACGAAATCCAAAAAGAATGCTTAAAAGCCAAAACGTAAGATCTAAAAAAATAAATTTGGGTTTAGGGTTTTAAGTTGCCTGAAATCTCAGGCGATTGAAACGATATTTAAACCGGGAAACAGTTAAGATAGATAACTATTAAATGCAACATTAAAAATACATTTTCCCAAAATTAACATCAATATAATGTAAGATTAGCTTAATATCTATTGCACAAAATAAAAATCATCAAACTTGGAAAAAAATGTAACTTTGTTGAATAAGAACAAAACGATATTTAAAGCGATTCTGAAACATTAAACAAACTATGTTAGTTAGAGACGCAAAAATGATTTACTGTAAAATGAGCAATGCAAAAATAGACGACGGTTGATCGATCAAAACAATGCACGGCACTAATTAAAAACATGATAAATTAGAATGTAGTAATTACATGCTTTACAACCACACATTTTGTATAACACAGCAGTTTTACTGAAATTACAATTAATTAAATAGGTTAACTGAAAGCAATCTCATTTCGGTAAACTGTCTGCAAAGCAAATTTGGCTTTTAATTTCCATATACTTACACGGGGTGTACACCACAATTAATGTCTCTTCTGTTTTATGGACAGACAAACTTTATGCACATTGTTGTTTAAAATAAAAAGCTAATACACGACACTAAACCTGAAATGTAGAGTAAGTTAAAAAAAGCACAGTATAAATAAATGACACTCAGGATTGAATTACCTTAAAACACATTTAGTGAAATTTTTAACACTTTAAGTGTCTTAAAATTTTGAGTTTTGTTTGAAAGTTGATAATTTTGAATGAATATGATAGTATTCCAATAAAGTTTTTTGAAATTTGGAGCAATCTAGACCAGAATATACTTAGCTCGCTAAAAAAAGAGGAAAGAATGCACATTTGTCTGTAGTCGCACAGTCTGTAGTTGTGATCAATTTTGTTCAATAAGAATGTTCGATATTGTCAAAAATAAAGGTATTTTACTCCTGCAAACTTTCATATTTTTTTTCCCATTCGGTAAAAAATATATATCTAGTGATGAGATGGAGAACACGCAGAGCGTTTTATAAAGAATAACACTTTTTCGTAAAATTACTATTGACATTTTTCTATACGTTGCCACCTTAAGTAGATCATGTATAAAATAACTATCAAAAATTCTAAAAACGAAATTCTACTCAATACTTGAGCAATCCCAACTACAGTGCTTACAATTATCATTCACTTTGTATAAGAAACGAATAAACTAAAAAATTTGAAAGGTGTGAATTAATATCTTACCTAATATTCCCACTCTCTAGCCATAAGATTACCTGAAAAAGATTAGGAAATTCCCCAGTGTAACAGCGCATATTCAATTTTTGGAGGATAGATGCCAAACTTCCTTGCACAATGCAATACAAAATATAAAAAGTCAGGTAATATAAAGTAGCTTAAAAAATCGATCACGTGATGGTAAAATTAGGTTAATAGAACACTTAAAAATGTTGGAATAAATGAAATATAAAACAAAATATAACATTTACCGGAAAATTAATAATGTTACGCAAACATACCGAGAGTTGCTTAAAAATGCGTTTAAACGTATTTTTTGCAAATACGTGAAGAATGTTAAGGTGCGTAATTTACGTAAATATGTATATTCACCAAACATTGATGCTTTAAAAGTGTTTTTGAAATATCATTTGAACAGACACAATTTCATCTACAAGATTAGCAACAAACTTGATCAGATTTCAACTCACGAGTTTTTTATTATAAGTTGTCTGGTTTGTTTATAGGTAAATGTATAATCAAATGAGAACTGCACGTTTTTGTAGGTCTCGTATTCAAGTACATTTCTAGTTACTTTTACATGACTTTCTTGCCAAAAAGTTAACAAATTTCGATAGTAAACTTGTTGGCAATCATGTATCAACATTTCCATTACGCTCAAAAAAGCTGAGTTAAACGTGTTGAAAAAATATTTTTAGGCAAATGGACAAAACTAATGTCCTATGTCTAATGTAAGTTTTTGATACAATTACACTAAATAAATAGTGCGACCAAATAAATAATTCATGGTAAAAGCTGAAAATGGCAATTATCAAGTATTCAATGATTCATGATCAATTATATATACAAGTGATGATGATGATTCATCATACATTACATTACATAGATAAAATCCCCAATAGCAATAAACTTTGAAAAATGTATATTCCTCACTATAGAAAGATTATATATCTTGCGCCAGTTTCGATATCTGCAGGAAACTTTCAAAGCTCTCGATTTTGACGCCCTGTAAATCATAATAATGGCATGGTGTATATCAGAATATAAAATAATGAAAACCACGCATCTCCTGATTGCTCCTTCTCTGTGAGAATATACCTACCTAGAAAAAAGTGTTAACTCACATACAGACAGAATTATATGCATTTCATGGACAACCCGTACAGTCTACTTCCCAAAATCAGACACAAAGATAAATCGATGCGTCTCGCCATATTTCAACATAAAAATGTGTGAATACACACAGCACAAAGTCAACACTTTGAAATTAGAAAACCAGTAAGCTTCGTCGCAATGCTAAGGACCACCTTACAGCTTTATCTCAATAAAACTGATTAAAAAATGCATATAACATTGCACCGATAATAACAGGTCGGAATAATTGCAATCAACAAATCCATCAGATAAGTGTCACTTTTCCCTATATCGATGAAATATATATTACCACGCAGAATATTCCAGAAGTTAACGCAAATCAAGCTAGACTAGATAAATGAAGAAAATTGATACGAATTATTTATACCAGCAAATAAAAGGCATGAGGAACGTGTGTTATCAATCCAAACGGTGTGGAAATATCAGTTAAACTCGGGAGTATTAAAATAGTCAGGTCAAATATCAAATAAAATACCTATTCATAAATGAATTAAGGTAAACATCATGAAACTTGCCAAGTTATTCTATTCTTACGTTTGCGTAAAGAGTCTTCGTCGCTCCCTCGAACAGATTATGCCAAAACCACCACACCGAGTGCAGTCTCAGCCTTCGTACGGTTTGCGTTTTTTTCCAAGCCATCGCCCTACAACGTAAAAGGTGTACTGTATAACCGATGAAAATTACTAATCAAGTTCATAATCGTACACCTTTAACGAACAATTACACTATTCACCCAATTACCATTGCAACTAATAATCAAATCAATGAAATTGATCCCCGATATATATGAAGTCACGATTTAGGACCATACGCAATAATATCAAAACGTGATTAATATCGATATAAAAATATGACACTATCAACTAGAAGCATAATGTTAAAAAGTTATGTTTAGTGAAACAAAGTATAAACAAAGCAAACCTAAACTGAATGTATTGCATGGGAAATTTTTAATATTCTTAAAAAATAAATGATATTAAAGGTAAAATTATAGTTAATTTTAAACTTATGTCCCAGAAGAAAAATCCAACTAATGCGCGAAATATGGTCAACGATTATAAACATCTAAGCATAAAATATTGGGAACTATTTACTGGTTAGTAAGTCAAGGTTAGCAAAGTCTATAAAAACGACTAATACCTAGTGTAAGAATTAAAAATGGAAACTGAAGCAATTGCAAAACCATCTGAAAGAACTCTAACAAATAAACAATCATTACATGCGAGTAAGTTAAAATAGGACAATACAAAGTGAACACCACTACCAATTGCTACGTCGCTATGACAAAATTAATCATAATCATAGATGTGGTTAATAGAAGAATATCACTTAACGAAATCAGTTTTTGGTTCCTCGTAACAATTCATGTAATTCACCTACGGACAATTGGTCACAACCATTTAAATTTGAACTATTAAATTTTCTTAAAATTCAAAATTTACAATTCAGCATTAATTTCCGGAATAAAATTTAATGCAATGCCCTACACAGAGAAAACGAATCATGGGCCGAATTGATGTTTTATATTATAAAGTAGTTTGGATATTAAGCAGCACAAATCACAATTTAGTGACAATAAACAAAATTGCTTCATGCGGATTGAGTATTTTCTTAACATCGACTTCATTAATTTAATAATTATGGCAGTTGTTTCGTAACTACAACATTGCGCTTCCGGATTCAATGCAATAATCTGCTGATAAGCCAAATTAATTCCGTCAAGTTGCAATATTAATAGATCTGGAATATGCAAGTGTCAAGTAACGGATAATATTACAATATCAAAATTTATGATATTCACAACTCGCGTCGATGCATCTACGATAATTCTTAGATTAACTCCTTGATTGCGCATCATATTGCCTAATGAAATTTTAATTGACAAATTCGGTCATATGAAAATGAGTATTAAAAACACATAGACATGCTTGCCTGGATTCTTCACTCGTAAGTTGAGGCGCAGTGAAGGAGTTAATTTAAAGTGTTTAAATTGTTTTAATGCACGCAATATTTATCAGGTCTGCTCAATCACATAGTATTAATATCACTCCTTACACCAAACTTACTAACGAGAAGTATATTTGGTGCACTCATGTATAAATTTGAAATCCCCAAAAACTCGTAAATTAAAAAGATATAAAATTAAATAATAGCAGTCAAGGTAATAAAAATTTAAAAATCCACATCAAAATAGGTATATCCGAAAACGTAAATAAGTGTTAATAATTGATAAATCCGTAAAAAGCATATTATAAAAACCAACGTAAAATTGGACGTAATTCCAATCGCAACTGCAGCTGCGTTCTACGATGCTGGATGGGTAAAACTCTGAAAAACAAAATAAAAAACAACAAACATATACAGATGTAAGATTTAATTGAACATCCATACATAAAGTGCTGTGGCACTGCTAAATACACTAGGACTACAGTTACTTGGAATATATGTGAAAATACAAATAAAACCGGTAATGCAAAATTTTGCTTTTCAAGTACCTGTTACACCTGGCGGAATTATCTAAAGCAGTATTTAATTTTCTAAGGGTTAAACACAAAAAGTGATTCCACCAAAAGAATCCGAAAATATCGATGATTGATCTGCAATAGTGATTAGCGCGTTAGTGATGAACGCCTTACCGCATCATTTGCTGAAATAAACAAGTGTCTTCACCAAATAAAATCAAACAAGTGTTTATCAACGAATATGTATCAACGAATATGAACAGCTGCTGTTCTAAATACATGTGTTAAAACCAGATAAATAGTCAAATAATTGGTTGGTAAAATTGTTAGCTAAATGTGGAAACAATATCGGGGACAAAATTTGAAACGCTTATAAAATAAATACTGCATGGAAAATAAATTGTCTTATTCAAAAAATTACCCTTCAAATTAAGGGCGAATAAATATAAACAGATCACTTATATTCTAAGCTAGATTACACCAAAATTAGGCGTTAGCTTTAGTCGTCTTAACAGCGAAAATATTTTCGAATTTTCCTGTCAAGACAGCTAAGAAGTATAGCCGCTTTTTGGAAACTATTATATGTCAATACAACGAAAGTAAGCTTATATATGAAGGTTTCTTCTTCCCCAAGTACTCCAAGACGTTGTAAAAAAACGCACTTATTTCTAGGGTAATTTTAAAAATGATTTAAGGATTTTTAAATCAGAATTGCCTGCTGTCGACCTGGTAAGACGGCAGTCCACAAGATTAAATCTGGAAAGTATACATAAAACTGATATTTTGCATCCTGTAGTCAACCTGAAAAACATATTGTTAAGGTATTGTCATAAAAATAATACATCTCTAATACCCAATGTACTAATCGCAGCTTTGAGTGTTGACGAAACAAAACAAATAATACCTTAAATCGTACTTAACATTTGTTTAAAAATACATTGCTTATTATGACAATACCCTGGAACGAAAAATGCAGCTAATTTTGAAAATGTGTACTGATTTCCTGTAAACTCTTGCAAAAATGGCATAAAAAATAAAGCAAATCAAACAAGGTATTATTAGATTCGGGAGAACCGACCATATGGATAAATATGAAAATGTGGAACGGAAAATAAATGTAACTTACGGTATTTAGTTTCCATCCCCGGAATTCTGTTGGGCGTTCGCGGGTTGTCCTCCATATCCATATTGCGGAAAACCATAGTTTTGTTGACCTCCAGTCACAGGAGCTTGTTGTTGTCCTCCATAATATCCTAATGTTACAATCATATTGATAATATCTCCAAAATACAATGAAAAAAAAAACACTGTTGTTTTTCGTATACGTACATCGCGGAAAATGAGAAGGCGAATATTATTATATAACAGATACTGAAATAAAAAATGAAACTAACATAATTATTATTTAAGAAAATGGACATCGTTTAGTGGAATGATGAATGCAATGAGTTATTTACATTTTTTGATGGCATTCGATGAATATCAATTCGGCAATTTTGGATCATTTTTATTACAAAATAACCACAAGACAGCATAACTACAATGATCCGGTGAGGCTGAACTATTTAAATGATTTATAAACTACTCACCACCCGGCGCTTGATAACCTCCGTAAGCTTGTTGAAAACCTCCGGCTGAGCCACCTCCTGGCGCCTGAGCTCCTGGTCCACCTGCTGAGGCTCCGGCCCCCGCAACCTGTATTAAAAGTATTTTAAATAAGAGAAACATATGCCGTGTATCTCGGTCACTATACCTTATTTTTCATTTGTGCTTCAATGGCTTCGGCTTCTTTAACTTTGCCCATGCTGCGATAATATTCAGCCCATTGCGTACTATAATCAGGTTGACCACCTGCACCAGCAGAAGCTTGCGCACCCGCAGGTGCAGTAACAGCACCAGGTTGAGGTGCTGCAGGAGCTCCAGGAACAGCCGCACCTGCTGCCTTAGCCTTGGCTTGTTGTTCAATTACTTCAGCTTCTCGCACCATTCCCAAAGATCTTTAAACATACAATGTGTGGCATCAAATCGTTAGGAAACTGGCTACTGAAGCTCAAACACTTTCGAGTTCATTGAGTGAAAATGGCATGAATGGTAGTAGCGACTGTTTTAGAGAATAAAAATCGCATGACGAATCCTGGGGTCTGAATAGAACTGCTTATTGCAGTGCAATCTTACTTCATAACACCCCTGTAGAATGACGCGGTCTTCAATTTGAAAATGTTATGTTATGATGACTATAATAAGGATGCATTGCATCCATATCTCCAGAATCGWAAGCGATACAATGTTAGTTAAATAACGAAAAAGTTGCGCAATGAGAGCACATATACATAGCATTTTCCAACATTTTGTCAAGCATTTTTATTTTTGAGATATTTAGAGTTATTTTTTCGAATTTTCGTTCCTTCCAATTTTTGAACCTACATATTTCAATTAACCTCAAAAATCAAAAAATACTTTCTCATTGCACTTTTTCGAGCTMTACAAGATGCTGTCTACGATGCGAATTTAACCATTATGACATAGTTTGATTTTTTACGGGTTTTACCCCAAAACATGTTTTTAATAAATTATACCTATTTTACATGTACAACAAATATCCTGAAATAAGGCAGCTTAATAGGACAAATTTAAGACGTCTAACTTTTCTTGGGTTTTTTCCTTGGTTTTAGTGGGGTCGTTTAATTTAAATTTATTTTTTATATAACTTTATCTTCATTGAAAGGTCTTATTATGGTTTATAAAGTTTTCTAATTGACACGTATTCATTAAATTGAAAGCTAACCGTTTGAAATGTGGCCTAATAAGCTGTCTTCTTTGAGAGTAGTTGTAATGAAAAATAGACATAATTTATAAAAAATGTTTTTTTGACGCAAGAACCAGTACAAATCATACTGTGTTATATATACATTGCTGAATTCGCGATTTAAAAGAACTATCTAATAATACGGGTATATTGTAATATAGTTTCAAGAAATGGCCTCGAAAGTCTACCTCTTTTGATATCTAATAATGTTTGAACTTTTTTCGGCCCATGTGAAAACGAAACGCTGGAATTATTCTTGATAGACACCAACTTGTAGAGCTGGAAAGGGTGCCATGAGAAAGTACATAGTTTTTTATCATTTGAATAACCTCAAACATGACTAAAAGCGAAAATCCGAAAAAACACTTATCTAAGTATCTGAAAAATTAAAACAAAACGTTTTGGTTTTTATAAAACGACGTTTATGGTTTAGGAGATCCTCATGCAATATATCCTTCTCTAGGACACCCTGTACAGCGGCATAAAATAAACTATATTTCGCTTGGAAAAACCGTTTAAAACTCGATATAGTTGCGTAGTACCTATTTTCAATCACTTAGCAGTAACCGAGCAATTAACCAAGGTGATATGCAGTAAGAAAAAGTAAATATACGTAGCCAAAGCGACGGGAGCAATTTTTCAATTAGTCTGTATATTAAACTGAAATTACCTGTAATATTCGGCCCATTGTAAGGAATAATCAGGCTGTCCAGTGGACGGATTGACGCCAACGCCGCCTCCCGGAGGCCCAACATTCACACCTCCTCCAGCAGCTTGATTTTGAGCATTTGCATCACCACCACCTTGTCCTTGATGACCACCCCACTGTTGTTGTTGCCCATAATTTGGCACTCCCCATCCTTGAGGATTGTAACCCTGTGGGGCCATTCCGGGATAAGCCTATGAATTATTCGAGTTTAATTTAAAAAATAATCATTTCACTATGAATTTCTTTGCAAAACCAGACATTTTTATTTTGTCCAATGTTAGGCATGTACATATATGAAATAGGTATCGGCATAGTATTCTACTTACAGTTGGAATATTACTAGTCATTCCTCCAGGACCCCCACCACTTATATTAACAAAGTTAATAGGCATCTGAATTTTTTCACTAATAATTCGTTTTGCGGTCTCTATACACTCCATTTCACCTTTAATTGTAAAAGTCTTTTCATTTTGATTTGAGTTGCTTCGCCTGTCCAACTCGCAATAGGCTCCTGATTGCTGATTAATTTGTTTAATCGTTTCTCCGCCTGGAAATAATATGCGTAGTCATATTATGTGAAAAATGCATACCAACTTCATCAGGTTTCTGTACCTTCACTTCATTTCAAATCTACATGTATGATATAATATTTTATCTTACCTTTGCCTATTATAACTCCACACTTATTGGCCGGCACAACAAATGACACTTCTTGACCCCCTGATCCTCCTCGGTCATTCCAATTTCCAGAGTTTCCATAATCGCCTGCGCCCCCGTTTCTGTCTCCTTCAGATTAAGATGAATTAATTTATAAAGTTTTAGAAGAAACAAAGTTACATTAGCTCGACATTGACGTGAAAAATCGATGTCTTTCAATTATAAAAGAACCAGTGAAAGTAAAAACCTCTGTTTCCGAAGTGACCACCTCGACCACCCCGCCCGCCTCTTCCTCCTCGTCCACTGAAACCACCTGGACCACCCATTCCACTTTCATGACCACCCCCATCTCGTTGCAAAACACTATCAATCAATTCTTCAATTTTTTGACGGGCCTGGAAGAAACAAACAAGAAATCACATAAATCCACCTTCCTGAGAATCTCAGTCAGTACATACATGGTCAATTTGTTTGGGATTTCCACTCAAGAAACACCTGCGATCGCCAGGGCCTTCATCTCTGGCTTGTTGAAACTGAACTCGACAGCCAGTTTCGCTTTGTATTTTTTTTATCATGTCACCTCCTTTACCAATAACCACTCCAACAGCAGCTTTTGGTACTAAAACCTCGAAATCACCACCCCCGCCGAATTCATTATCAAAACCTCCGCCGCTGCCTCTGAAACTATAAAGTAAAAAACATTACATAAAGAAGAAAAATATATCGACTTTATAAAGCAATAATTAGCAAAACACCAATAATGATTCTTCTAATAAAACTATCTTAGCTATGCTGTAAAAAAGTATTTTAAATGTTCATTTGTACTTGTCATTTCGCCCACCGCGGCCAGCACCACCGCCCCTGTTATTGAAGTTTTTCATTTCTTTCTCAGCTATTAATTCATATACTAATTGCTTCGCATAATCCACCTTTTGTGGATCTCCACTGATCACCAGTGGTTTCTCTACTTCTTGCCCAGGACCATCCTACAAAGATAAACAAATTGTCAATAATTAGAAGCTTTTTACAGAAAATCTACTTCTCACTCATATTATAAAAGTTCTGTTTAACAATCGGACATGTTTGTGATGTACTTTAATAGTCTTAACAATTCCATAACTTAACTAACTTAACACATCCATACCTGAATTACAACCATTTTTGCTCCACTTTTTTCCTGTAACTGTTTTATTGTCTCTCCGCCTTTTCCAATAATTAATCCTACTTTAGGGCCAGGCAACATAATTTCAATGCTATTTCGCCCACCAGGACCTCCTCCTCCTCCCATACCTACATAAAACAATGTAAAGTTGCTTAAAAGGTATGAATGGGAAAGAAAAATTGAGTTAAACTACGAATACTAAACTGAATTCAACAGAACTTAAATGAAATGTGCAGCAGCAACGAATATAAGTAAATTATATTTATTTAACTTTTTGATCGAATTCCAAGTTTACCTAAGTACTGCTGGATCTTTGGTTATTATCCGGTAAATGTTTAACTTGTGTAACCCTCATACTTACTTAATCTAGATCCAGTATCATCATACTCACTTAATCTAGGCCCCGAACCAGTGCCCGGTGGGCCACTGCCTGGGGGCTTTAAGTCATCACTACCTGAGGACATATTTCCCATGGGGCCACCGCCTGGCGGTCCACTTGGTGGTCTGCCTAAACCTAATGGTGGACCCACAAGACTTGGTCCCTTCTTAGACTCTGGTTCTAAAGAAACCATTTCTTTAAGTAAAAAAACACAAAATTCAAAATAAAACAGACAATCTTTGGATGAAATGAGTTAATAAGCAATTAGTGAACAATGTCAAATTCAGCTCAGAATAAAGGGACAATTACAATCTAGTTAAATGTCCCAAAAATACAAATGTGACGAGATGTAGCAATTCCACGTAGTAGGCAACTCACTGTAGCTCCCTGTAAAAATCTGATTTGACAGGATGATTCAAAATTTGCGTCGCCTTTGAAGATGATTGTTGTGTTGATGTAAAAAATATGTTCACTGAAGTTTGGGTTTTTTGCAAAAAATAATAACAGCAATGGAAATGATTTTCTCATAAACATTAATTGCTTTATGCGTAAATCTGCAGCGGTATTGGACGAACTTAAGAGTTCACATACGGTTGTCCATTTAAACGGTCAGACATGAGCGTTCAAGAGAAAAATAAAGTTGGTCTGATACGAATCAAAGCATTAAGATGCATTTCAATATGCCCTCATATGAAGCCCAATTAATATCCTCTCAAGCTCAAGCATACGATAATTAAAAATGTCTATGCATGCGACTATCGCCTACAAAGATGAGAATATACGACTATTTCCTCAACCACCTTTGCCCAACATTGATTGATTTTAGTCAAATCATCAAGCTTCAAGGCTCATTGCTCACTTTCAACAATTCTGGCTCTCCATGTTCCAAAACGGTTCCTAATTGTTTCTGAGTAAGGAACTATGCGCCACTTCTCCAAATAAAAAATGTACTATTTTGTAAATTTCAAATTAAATATCCGGGTAATAACTTTTGCGTAAATACATCAGTTTAATCACGCAAAAGAAAAATAGTTTTATACATACATCGTATTTCGATATCCTTGCAATGGTGCATTGGGTAAAAAGGGATTTACATATTTGGAAATTTGTCCATCCCAACGAAGTGGAATACGGATCTCTTAGTCGATATTCATTAATTTTATCTCAAAAATGTCAAACAAAAAAATTATAATAAATAAAATATATAAAAAAGGATTATTTATTAGGAAAATAATCTGTTTGGACTGAAACAGTAGAACATAAAAAAGATTTTCCATTCCCTATTTTTAAGAAACGCGTTTAGGGCAAACCTTTTCTTCATTCTAGTCTCTGGATACGACAAATTTGAGCTGCGTTTATAAGAACCTTGTAGGTGTTGCAATATGTAAATCAACCGCCCAATTTTTTGATTAATTTGAGATGATAGACTGACTTTTGAATCAACGCCAATCCAATCAAATGTAGAAATTTGCTTAACTTAATGGGCGTGAATGGGTTGAACAAATAAACGCAGATTTGTACAGAATCCCAGATCTCTGAACCATCGCTTATACCACTTTAAGCCGTTTGCTTGAAAGCTCCCCAAATCATTTATACTTAAAAAAAAGTAGTAGGTATTTGCCAAATTCTGATGTGGGCAAAAATGAAATTGAATTAACCAGGAAACCAATAACAACAGAAACGTTTATATTTAGCTGCTATATCTTGAAACCTTTGATTCAAGGTTACAATCCACTAAGAAAGGCTTTTGAACCTTAGTGAAGGTTTCTGGGCAAAATAAATGAAAGGTTAAACTTACCGGGGCTATCCTCTAGGGCTCTCTTAGAACCGCGAGTTTCGCCTGGAGCTGCACTTGGGTTAATTTTGGCAGCAATCTATCGAAAATTACATGTTTAATAGTCAAGCCAAGCAATCAACGGGCAACCAAGCGGCATGTTTGACAAATTCGGGGCCGACCGAATATTTACCTGTTTAGCGCGTTGAAGAGCAGCTGCAAACGCTGACGACTGATTGTAGTTTGCTTGTGGAGGCGGAGGTGCAACACCGGAAAAATCACTCATTTTTTCTAAACATACACGGAAAAATAAGTCTATACAAATGCTACTAAAATGGAGTCGTTTGACCACACGTTTGACGCTACGATAAGGTGGAAAATAAGTGACTCTTCAAGGGACGACTACCAACACACCAGTTCATTTGTCATTGTCATTGCGGAGCGGCGTCATTAATCGAGTGAATTTTAGCATAAAAATCCACAAAAACGGCGAAATTTCGACTTTTAATTGCTTGCTTCCAATTGTGGAGCGGACAGCAAGTTATGGGTAGGCACGCAATGGATAAAAACAGTAAACTAACGCCTGAGAACAGATTATTAACATGCGGTTTTAAGTTTCGCGCCAAATATAACTGGTGGTGGCAACACTGGATGGTTTTTAATCAGGTGGCCCCAGGGTAGCCATTCGTACGGTAATTTGGGCAATTGTACGGTGTACGTCCCGAACGCGTTACCGTACGCCAATTGTAAAGTAAGAGGTATTTTTGTACGGTATTGTAGGGTAAAGATTATGGGATCTTGTTTCTAACCTACGGGGACGTTTTTTTTTTTTGTTACAGCCATGTCCTAAGCCTTCGATCTGGATTTTTAGAATCCAGACCTTTTTTGTTTTTCTGGTTCAAAATCTCTGGTACGCTAAAGTACGGTATTTTCAAATGGCTTGTACGGTAATGCGCGTTTGAAAAGTTGGCCCCCCTGTTTGGCGCTAAAGTCACTTGACAACAATATATGTTATTAAAATTCTAACCGCATTTGAATTTGCTAAGAAAAGTAGAAATTTATATTTAAAAGTAACTAATTAAAAAGCGGTAATAATAAAATTTAGTCAAACTGTTTGTTCTTTGAACAAACATGTTTTTCGTGCTTCAATAGTATATTCGTTCATTTGTTAATTATATTGTTATGTTTGAGTTCCTAATTATTGGCGTATATTTGAATTTTTCAAGCTTGTGATTAAATTATGTCTCTTCAGTTAAGTTATCAGCCAAACTACTACTCAATAGACGATATTTTAGCCTCACAAGAAAGAGTGCCATGCAAGGTTTTACAAAATGTGCTTGGAATGGGTATGTAAAAATCAGGTCAAATAAACTTTTAAAGGTTAATAATAGTTAATCAGGCAATTTTAATCCAACTCTACAAATGAACTGTAACAGCTTTTCTTGCCATTGTTAACAGTAGAGAGAAACCGAGTTTCTGAGTAGTAGGAGGTCAGTTTGTCGTGCCCTAAGTTGAAGGTAAACGAAAAGTTAATTTTACAGATTATGAGGCACTCGCGCTGGAAGGTAACAATATGCCGAATTTATTCATAATCATTTTACCAACAACTTTTCTTATTGATGTTTCTTGTGAAAATTCCGTTTTCAATCACTTCTCACTGATGGAAATTCGCTATTTCGTCAAAAGATATTCACTCTGTTCCAAAAACATCGCAAATCTATGTTTTGTCTGCACCCGATTTTTTTCGAAGTAATTGAGTTACCTGTTTAATTTATTTAGCTTCTGTTAGTTTTGGATAATAATTGGTTAACTTTTTTAAAATCTATATTGTGTTTGCATTCGATTTTTTTAGTCACATTTTGTAGCTATTTGGGATTTGTTTCGGTTAATTTTGTATTTTAATATAAATAAGTGAATATATTAATTTCAATGCGGATTGTGTTTCACCGTTCACGTTAATATAAAGATACTCAGATTTGAGTCATTTTCAAATTTTCAGCGCTTATTTTAATTGATGAATTTAGAATATTGGAAAGCCGCACAAAATCACACACGAAAAACCGAAGTTCATCCAAACAATGTAATTTCTAAATGTACTTTACCAAACTCTGCTTTATTATTACTTGCAAAACAGCCAACCCCTTAATGACGAGAATTCCTTCCTTAAATTGTAGGTATTTATGCAAACTTAGCTGCTGCCATCAAAAATTAACTATAAAATGCTTTAGCTATTTATACTTTTTGCGATCTCATTCGCTGTTATTATTCTAGTTTAAACCACTTAAAATGCACAAAGCCGATGGGTTTAGCGGGTGTATTCTGGAACTAAATCGTCAAAATTTAAGTGCCTTCAAAAAGCTAACAATCGGGTCTAATAAAGAGTGAACGATTTCCAGGCAAGTTAAACCCATCAGCTGAAGACAAAGATGTTAAAGCAGGCACTGAACTAGAACTTCCCGTCTGGTTAGTAGCATCAGATTGCTCAATTGGGAGACAACCCATCTTTGCCCCTGAGTTACCGAAAATTTACAAAGAAGCTTATAGAGAAATTCTCAAAGCTGACGCAACCGCCGTTGATTTACACAAGTTCAACGTATACTTTTATGAATTAGGAGCATATGTTAAACAATTTGATAGAAAAGACGATGTTCATGCCATTTTGTTACATGTAAGTTTTTTTATTCTTCTTCAATGTTTGTACTGCATTAAGAATAACTTGTTGATTATTCAGTGTGGTAAATACCCAGATTTATTTGGGCCCGACATAATATTAACTTTCTCAGTGTATATTAACTTTTTAGACGTTTACAACAAGATTTCGTTTAATTATGGATCTTGCCCATAATTCCGAATCTAATCCTACCGTAGAACAGAAGTTAGACATGTTAGAAAGGAGAATTTATAGAGTTGGTCACTCAGCCCGTGTGAAATTAAACAGCTGGTTATTAGAAAGTGGTGTTCAATTGCAAGCCGCAAATATGGTGACAAATCACAGGAAAAGGAAAAGAGTTGATGATGATTTATTTAATTAAAATATTAGTGCTATTGTTGATTATCCAGTAACGTACAATTTTATCATAAGTGTTATCAAATTTCCTTTTTTTTGTAAACGTTTTAGTACATATTTTTGAAGAAAGAAGCATTTTTAATTGTGTCGAATTTATCTTTTCGAGGAAATATACACATTGGCGTAGAGAGCGTCTTCAAATCAGAATTTTTTTCGTAGAAAACCTTTAGAAATGTAGAAATGTGGAATTACAAAATTCAAATAGGGTCAAAACGAGTTCATAGTTTTTCATGGGAATGCCTCAGTTTGGAACTCGCATTTAGGCATTATTTTCTATTTAAGAAAAGGATTTTCTAAAGGCTAGTAGTTTATTATGAGACATAAACCCTAAGATAATACCTTCCTTGCCTTGAGCAGAGACTGATTTAAGTGGTGGAAGTTCTCTTCATCTCGCATCATTATATGAATCTTTTATGTTATTTATAGCAAGCAATAAGGAATGGTAAATTAAAAGACAACAATTAATGATATAAAGATGTATTTAAACAACATATTAACAAATTATTGCCACCGCCAGCCTTTATAATTGCATGCTAAAGTAGATATGGAATATCTATACAGTGATACTAAATATAATAGAAATATAATAAACTTATGTAAACTTATTTTGATCAGGTAGATTGATAAAACATCACTTGTAACACACTATGTAGACATGTATAAGTAATTAACAACACTGTCAAGAAATATTCATCCAGGCTCATCTGCGAGCATCCAACTTGTATTATAGTAAATATCCGGATACATTTCCGAATAGCATTTTTACATTTGAAATATGTTTGTAGTTAGCTCGGAAAAGTCAAATATAAGCAAAATTTGTTCTGAGAAAGTACATAATTCTTAAACCCAAAGACAGTCACCTTCAATAATAGCAATTATCATTATAAAACAAAATAATCAAATATTTCACTAAAAACTAGTTATCAATAAAGAAATAAATTAATTTCTTTAACATCAACAGATAGCAATAAAAATGTATTTATTATTATTAGTACGAACTAAATATAATTATCGAAACAACTCCCTTGTATAGTAGTCATTTCCCTCTTGTTACCAGCTTAATATTTTTTTATAAAAAATACTATCATATAAATCTATCTCTAACTTATTTATGCACATTAACAACAGTAAGGCAATTACTTTTTCCAGATGTATATAACATTATTCTATAATAGCCTTAACAATAATTAACAATTTTGGCATGGGTTGAATTTTGAGCAAATGTAGCAATTATCTGTAAACTATGTACAAAAAGGTACATATTATTATTCAGAGCATTTTGTACTAGGAATCCAAAAATCTAGTCCTAGATAATAAATCACAGCCCTAATAATTATAACATATTTAATAGTTACCGAAATACACGATAAATCGATATATAAACATGTTTTTTAACAATGGTCTTAACAGAATATTAGTTTACACTATGTTGATTTTCTTTACAAGTGATCGACTAAAGTCGGATTAATGATTGGACATAATATGCATAAAGATCTTATAATAAATCGACCAATATGGTGTACTAATATGACGAACAATGTCTAGCATTTTCGCACGATTGTGAAAACGGTAAAAACTCTCAGAATATTTATATAGTTTTTTAAAAAATTACTCTTTTCCTGTACTATGATGTCATGTAATTTTTCGGAAATTATTTTCGTTTTTAATGAAAATCTGAATGACACTTAGGCATGGATTTGCAGCTCATTGCAAATGCCGGTCATTTTGTATGTGGTCCTGATTTATATTTGTTTATCTTATTTCAAATCGAGGCCAAAATGGGTCACTCCGGTTTGATTTTACCATCATTAAAACATCGCTTTAAAACCATATGGTTTCACTTTTATTGGTTCCGGTTCGAATGCTAAACTATTGAATCCGTCTTAATTTAAACGGTAGGGAATAAAAGTTCAAAAGTAAAATAAAATATACCTGATGCCCCGAACAAGAACATTCAGGTGCATTAACATATGTCCTGATATGAAGGCAAACTAATACGCTTTATTGCAATTATTTGCTCAACCTTTGCCCAACATTAATTTATTTGAGCCGTGATGAAATCATCAAGCTTCAAAACTCACTTTTCATTTGCCACAATTCTGAAGCACGGATGTTTTACAGAATCGTATTTAGAAGACTTAAAGATTCCCGTTGCATAACGGTTTAAAATTGTGAGCCATTTTGTAATTTTCAAATTAAATATGCGAGCAATAATAACAGTGGTTTCGCTTAATATACCGCCAAAAAACTTATCACTTGAAAATTATAGTTTTAAACGTCAATTGCATTGCGATGCCCTTACAATCGTGCATTGGTTCATAAAAACGAACGTCACTATCGTAATAAATTCTTTAAAAACCATGTTGTTCCTCTTTTATTGGTTCTGGTTTGAATGCTAAACTATAGGAATCGTCCATTGGTCCAATATCCCTCATAATTAAGACACTAGATGTTGCTGTAAAAACACGCCAAGTTTATCATTCAAATCTAAATATTTAACAGTTATATAATTCGAAAGATTTATTTTACTGCAAACAATGAACATGCTTGAAAAATACCAACAAGCAACTAATGCTGTGATTGTCGCGTTGTTCATTTGCAAACATTTACGTGTGAAATATCTCAGGTAGACGTTATGATGAGGACGAATGCTGTTAAATGATCTTAGCTCCCAAAAATGCAATATTTTTGCGGATATGTTCATTTTGAATTTACGGTATCACTTACTGAATTGGAAAGCAATTAATATGAATTTTAAGTGGAAGTTAGATTAATTATCAAAAAACGTCCACCAGACTAAGAATCAGAAAAAGCTTTACAAACAAAGGAATAGTGCGGAGGAAAAGGAAACGTTTATGCGTAATTTGATTCTTACCTGTGGGTACTGTTTGTTGAGGACTGGCCATATTGCCGCAATTGATAAGCTGATCAGCTGGACTACTTGGCATAGTGGTGGGTGAAGTTACAGGACTATCAGTCGAATCACTAGTTTGGTAACCGTTATTATTGAGATGTTGTTGAGGCGAAGACACTTGGTTCGGTACGATCAAGGTGGGGCTGTTGTCGAGGCCACCTAAAATCGGATCTAATTTGATGCATCAAGAATTAATCATTTCGCTCCCCTAAATACGGCTTAAGTAATACAATAAAAAAGGATAAAAGTAAATACTCTTACATGAACGTCTTACCTCCCAACAACATTTCTTGCAACAAACTGTCGATGTGCGTGACTCCAAATAATTTTGCAAACTGAATTTGCTCAATCATTTGCCAAGTGATCGATTGCAGAGGCGGCAAAGTTAGAAGTAATTCTCCGAAACGTCCTCTACTATCATACTGTCTATCGCTTATATAATCTTCCAGGTTGATCTGAATTTGAAATCGTAGCTGCTTGATGCGATCTGTGCTACTCAGGCCTTTTGCATCTAAGAATAAAGTCGCTATTTTACTGGTCAAACAAGTTAAACGCCTTAAAAAGTTAAAGGTTGCCTGACGATGTTTCACTCTTTCTTGCAATTAATAATAGACGATAATTATTTTTTGTTAGATTGATACCCGGTTTAGCTGAAAGCACCATTTGAATAATTATATACCTGATGGTACTTTTTTAGTAACAAATTACTCCTAATAATAGTAAGTGTTTTTATTACTTCGCATCTGATTAATGAGTTTTCAATGCGTGCATTGGCAGTACAAAATTATTAGTTATTTGGCGCGGTATTATCAAAGTTCTACTAACTTGGATCGAAAAACACAATCGCCTTCAAGCAAGCAAACTCCGTATCGTCGATTTGAACGTCTGTCATTGGCTTAACTAACTCGTCCATAATGCGACTACCCACTCGTGAAATGCTGAGGTCTGCTGAAGGATCGCGCACTGGAGACACTATAAAAAAACAGTATTTAAGGATTTATAGGCAAAAAGAACTCTTAAACCATGGTGTGTTAGGGGTATTTTTCCGAAAAGTATTGCTTCTTGTGTCTGTAATCGATTCAATCATGACTTTCCATTTAATTTATGCCCATTTACAATTCACGACGTATTTGCCTAATAATTATTGGAAGAATTACTAATATTTTCAATAGGAAAGATTAATGCACAACCACCATAAAACACTATTGTAAATGTTTGTGTTAAATCATCAGCATAATTAGTGTTTTCAATTGACCAAACAATAATCCTCAAACTGTGACCAAACGTAAGCTATAATAAAAATGTCAGGACACCTCAATGTCTATTTTTTTCACCATTGACTTATTACAAAGTGTTTACAAACCTGCAAGCAATTATAACGGGCATAAATTATTCTAATAAAATTAAAGAAAATTATAATAATTAAGTAGTTCCACTAACTGCCAAAAGGAAAAAATGCGAAAATTACCCGAAAATGTCCTTCGCTAGTGAGTAATGGTAAACATTATCTGTCAGCCACTACAATTAAATTTAATATACGGGCAGCTAAAAATTAAAAATTAATTAATGAAGACTCGTCGCAGAAATGACCTGTAATTTTGCAAGTAAAATTTGCGCTTGAGAGTACGTGGTATGCAATTTCTGGATATCATTTAGTCGATACGGAAGTAGCACACTTTTGAGAGCAATTACTTTTCAAGAAAAGTTTGGACAATTAACTAATGATCACATTATGTTATTTCAACAACACTATTAAACATCTAACTTTAAACTATAGTCAAGAGCTACTTTAACGTACATTACTAATTAATAATTTCATTTTTATTGGGGCACCTGTATAACACAGGATTCGGTACAAAGGATAAAAAACTCTATCAACGTACCTTTACCTGAGCATTGCTTTGTAATTATGCAATTGTTTCCTAGAAGAAGAACATCTTTTAGGTGCATTGATCGCCTGGCTAATCCTAGAAGTAAATGTTCTCCTGCGTGGGCCCTTAATAACGCAACCTATAAAAAATATATATTAATTCAAAGGAAATAGTGACTACACAAAACGTTCAAAACCTATTTAATGCAAATTTACCTGATCGTCTAACTGTAGCTCAGTAAATGCTGGAATATACTTTGCCCATTCAACCAAAATTAGCAGTTGTTGCTTCATAGAGTCGCAAATATCATTTAAATTAGCTTGCTGCTTTCCCGATAAATCATAGTCATTAACTGGAGTTGGGCCCATTTGCTGTAATATAAAAAGTATTATTATAAAAGAACAAATTTCATAAAAGTTACTTACTTCCAAAGCTGCTCCCACTTGCCTGGATAACATTTCTGCATTTAGCAATGAACTGACCGATAGACCATTATTTTGATTAGTTTCTTCGTGGCTTGGACGTCTGCAACTTATCCTATCCCTTTCATTCTGTACAGCTGTAAATAAGTCAAGGATTAATTTGAATTAGGAAAAAACGCATTTTCGTATTTTGATCATTTCATTATTTTGGGCCTTTTTGTTTAGAGGCTCACCTTCTTTTTTCATGCCAGCTTTAAAACATTTTCGTAACCTGCAGTATCGGCACTGATTTCTTTTATCCTTATCAACAACACAACTTCTACTGAATCTGCAACAAAGGAAAATAAATTGTTGATTACATGAATTGGGATGAATTTTGAATTTTACTTCAGTTCGGATTCCCGGAATCACAAAATACACAAGTTATTTAGAAATATGATCTGATGATAATATTTGCGGATATTTTTAGTTCTTATTGGCGGTATTCCAAAATAGATCTGAATGCGTAATAGAATTCGCTTTAATCAATTCGTTCTAACTGACCAGCGCAAGGAGGGAATAAACGAGATGGATCATAATTTTTGATTAAGTTCAATTAGCTTTTCGCTATTACTTTTTTATTTATTTCAAGTTCGGGTTTGTACTCAGAACTGTAAACAGAACTTTTTTACAAACATTTCAATAGATGTTCCATATTTCAAAACATCATCAGAACGATTAGCTTAATGTGCTTTTGCCATCGATGTAAATGAATGTTAATTGCAGCAATTTAAATTGAAACCAACTCAAATGAAAACCGATTATTTGACATCGTCATTTAATGGAAAAGTTTGTTACTTTAAGACGAAAATAGTATAATGTTAATTATATGAGAACACGCTTAGTAACTATTTTGGTTGCTTCGTATGCAAATTGGTACACACACATTGAACAAATTTTACCGATCATCAGATGCTCAATACAAAGTGGAATAATTGAAAGATAAAACGCAAAATCGTCGTTAAGTCGTAAAAAGTCGTTAATTAGCAGGTACTGAGCAACTAAGATGAAATTAATTAAGACAGCAGCAGAAGCAGCTGGAAATATCCAATCATATTTAGACCTAACATATAATTAGTAATATTTAATCTGCAGGTAGAGACGTTACCCACCAACGTTGATTCTAGTAATGATTTCGACATTACATTGTGTAACAACGTCAAATTAACTTGTAATTTTCGTCAGTAAGTAGCAGTTGCCGTGGGCTTCCTAAACCAAGGAACAAGACTTGTTTGTGTAGCATGCAATAATGTATATTTATTCTATTAAGATCGGTAATGTATATAAAAGAGTCGGTTATTACATGTTCCAAAATCGACTGTTTATTGTTCGTTTTCATTGAGATGTTGTAAATATATTCACATGACTCGAAGAGATTCGCTAATGACTTCCATTCATACAAGTCGCATTATATAAGACTTTACTTAGACTTCAGTTTAATTAAACACTTGGACTTGAAATTGACCAGTTTTTCGACGACTTAAAACCTATCAGCTGTAAACAATGGCGACAAAAACCCGACTTTGTAAAATTTGTTAATGTTATTATCTGTTTCAAATTTAAATTAATTCTCCCTGACCTGCATGTATATAAATGGTTTTTTCTGACACTCCTTCTGAAGAATCCTTTGCAACCATCGCAAGATGCTGCTCCGTAATGTTTTCCGGTTGCTCTATCACCGCATATAGCACAATGCTGCGGTCCAAGAGCAGCGGCTGGCACTCCTCCGGTTCCTGCGTGGCAAAGAGTAGCGGTCAAAGCGGCATTTCCGCCTATTGACCCGCAGCCCCCTGTTGCCGACATAGGTGAGTCGGAGTCTGCTAATAAAAAATATAATTTTTATTATTTATTACAATAACAGCGAGAAAGTGCAATTTTAAAGTTCAAGTTATAGATGGAAATCACGAATACAACTCTTAATCATATTCATTTTAGCACCTACTATCGAGATACACCAATATTTTCAACCAAGAAAGCTCAAATAATGTTTCTTGATATCCCACAAATATTTTTTATTAAAAAACATTATCGATATGTTGCCACCAAAATGTGCAAATTGTACATAGGAAGTTCACAGGAAGTCTAATTAAATGCTTAGAAACCAGTTCATTTTTAAAAACTATTAATTAACTGGTTGTTGGTAGTTGGTTAACTGGTTTTGGTACGCCTGTTAGTTAAGACATATTGATTTTTGGATATTTCCAATAATCAATAAAAATAGCAACTGAATAAAAGACCATTCATCAGATGCGAAACAGAAAATTTAAAGGAATACAAAACACATTTTTCACATTTTTTTATTATCGAGGCAAACATACCGCAGGAATCCCTGACTAATTAATAATTAGTATGAGGAAACAGTCCAAACTGAAATAACGCGACAAATTTTTGCATCTTTTACAGCCAAACACTTTGATAACACACAAAGAGCTACTTATTCACATACTTTGTTGCAAAAATTGGCATTTTTCGTCCCAACAGTTTTTTTGCTTATGTCTCACATTTTACACTAGGTATAGAAAATTAAATCAGACCATATTCGCTTTTCCTTGTCTTCACCCTTAGTACCGTTTTTCTACACGCCGATTTCAATTACATAAGGCGTCACCTGACCTTAAGAAATAATTATGTTATTTGCCTATAAGAAATACAAAATGAGTGTCATGGATCTTAAAGCAATTATTGCCACTTTACCTAGTTATTCGTAATTATAAAGCAGCTATTAAGTAATTAGTCTGGAACAATAATTAGTACTACTATTATAGAAAGTGCTTTTCCCACTTGCCAGAACTGTTAAACATAAAAAATAATCGACAATTACAGCAAATTCAAGCAATCTGATTTTAACAGCCCTAATTAATTAGTAGACTAAGCAGTATAATTCGTTTACTGATCTTGTATTGTTACAAGTGTAATGCCGAAGGATTGATTTTTTTCAATCACTTTGACCGATCACTTTTAATTGTAACATTCAGTGCAAATTAAAAAGTTAAATGGATTTATGAGATAAGATAAAATCCAAAAATTATAAATTTATAATTATTTCAAAAGTATTTTACTCTTATCTCATAATTGAAGAAAACAATATGTAATCTTACAAAAAGCCTCAGATAAACATGAACATGAGATGTACTAAACATTTATAGTGCGGGTCTAAAAGTGCATTAACAGCTGAGATTACGACGAAAAAAAAATCAAAATAAATCAGACGAAAATGATGAAAATTAAATTAAACTGCGTAATAAGAAAACCTTCTAAAAGTTAAGTTACTTTTATTGTGCCCAACATTGCAGAACAGAACGATAACTTATCAGGTTTGCAAAATATCGTTGCAAATTTCGATATACACCAATCAATATTGGCTTTAATTAAAGGAAAAAGCTGTAATCTTGCTTAATTTATGAACAAATTAACATCAATCAATTTATCAGGAAATAAAGCGGATCTACATACATATTTAAAAATAATTCAGTCGGTATACAGTCACGTGAAATGTGTGCTGTAAAACTCAAAAAATCATCACAAAATATTTTTTCACGAAATGAGGTTGTCAATTAGAAAAGATGGTCTAATTCTTTCGCTCGTCTAAAAAGTGTCTTTATAAAATAAAAGATAGGCAGATGCAGACGAAATAACGAAAATGTGCTCGCATTTCCTTAAATTCATCAGCCTAAAGTAAGTTTTGAAACATCTCATTCTAATAAGATATCGCCAGGTCACAAAGTTGAAGGTATAGATAAACAAATAAGAATAAAGTAATCACACAAAGGAAAATGAAACAAAACTCATATAAAAGAAACGTTAATAACATCCGGAGCATAAGCAAATATCAATGAATCAGAATAAGGTCAAGAATGATACCGAAAACTAAACTAAAGATATGCAAGAAATTTGGATTTTGATATGAATTTGAACTAATTGGTAGCTCCTGAGTAATGACTTATTTCTGATTTATAAACTGTGCAATGGGCAAAAAGCCTGTTTTAAACACACTTAAAACTAAAAAAATAACTAAAAGTAAAGCCAAGAGGAAAAACCCTGACAATATTATAAAGATATAAAAATAAACAATATTATCTGCTTGTCTACAAATGACTAAATATCTACGAATTTTCAGATGTAGTTTTAATTTATTTTCCAAAATTGGTACTTATAAAGTATATACAGAAGTAAATTTAGTAAATTTTTAAAATATTCTGTATCTGTAAATTAACAAGAAATTGAAATGATTTGTTGATTGTGTACTTGCACGATGTGTATTCCTTTAAAGGGATATTAGATATTTGTAGATAGTTTTATTCACATTTATTAACTAGAGGTACCGTACATTACATAATATAACATTTTAAAAATTAAGATATTCCTCTCATAAGATGTTCGGATTTCAAAAAAGCTCCTACTTACAACCTCTTTTGTCTAATGTTCGACTATAATAAAATTTTCGTATGACAAACATTCCAGAATTTCAGTAATTATGATCAACAACCACGTGTAAATCATGTTGTTTTGCAAGCGTTATATTATACTGATCATGTTAGTTTGAAAACACATTCGACATTCCGATTAAGTACACTTAAATAAAATCACCAAACGCTTCAACCATGTATTGGAGTTGTTTGCAAGCAGATTACACATAAGTACCGAAAGCGTTAGAAGAAACTAACATGCAGATTGGTCAAATCATTCCTTTTTGAATCAGTTTATTATCAGTTTACGTACGTTTAAGATGCGTATTTCGAAATATAATGCTAATTATTAATCGTGACCCAAGAGCATTAATTAAGCTGCTTTCTCTGACCACAAAACTGTACATTATACAGCGTAATCAAATTACATAGATGTATAAATCACATACGTAATTAGTTTCTACACGTTTTACGGTTCAATTTCTATAGTGGACACTCAAAGATGCAAACTTTCGAGCAAACAAAACTAAAATCGAAAATATAATGTATTCATCTTTATCGCATGAAAACGTACACTATAATAATATAATATAATTCTGCGAAATAAATCTCTTTATACCCGTATAAAATCAACACACCTCTCTGCTCGTTATTGAGCATTATTACTGATCAACCAAATCAGTTCTCAATTAAAATACAATAGCAGGATGGGTCAAAGAGCGTTGACATAATGGAAAACGAGAAATTATAAATGCGAGTCAAAAAAGTGAAAAGGAAGATTAAAATCCATCATTTGAATGAATGGAAAACATAATAATTATATTCAAAACAAGAATCAAGACGTGACGAAGAATACCGGACATTTTTACAATTCCTGTTTACCATAAACTCCAGACAACGTCGGTGAAGTAACCGTTGTTATACTCTTATCAGTTACATATATATGTGTCATTAAACGGATCTTCTTGGAATACCGTGGAGATCAAGAACAAAGTTCAGCCAGATCAATTTTATCAATCGTAGCTAGTAATAAAATTTCTATACGAAACTTTTTTCGGAACTTTCATAAGATGTGGAAGGATATGATATTGTAAAGCCTAATGCACATTTTAGTGGCAACGAACACCCAATTACGACATCGGCTTATATCAAAAATAAAAACAATATCTCTTGACTGCTCTCTAAATTTATTAGCGTCGCGGAGAGAGGATTTTATAAATAGGTCGCAAAACATGTTTTTTTTCTAAATTAACCCGTAAATATTTCATCATTAGGCAGGCTCCTTTCATAAGCAAATATTTTAGAAAAAAATATTGATGATATGATTGATCAAATAATAATGGTAAACATATATTTTTTTAAATAACGTCAATATTTTGCTTATAACCCCATATAAGTGTAAACTAGAAATATTCAAAGTGATTTGGTATATCAAAGCAATCATCATTTGACAGTGGATTTATGGGAATTTCGGAGATTCCGTGAATCCACAAAAGAAGCAAAGTCCAGCCTGCTTACACCAACTATCTGTATTGTCCAATGTTATTGTTGAATTGTTTCGTCATCTTGTTTCAGTTCATATTTAAAATCACTTTCCCGTCAGGATTGTACGTAGGTACTATTATTATCTGATGTATTGGTTTCTGTTTTCTTAAGAATACGTCTGAATAACATTACCTACTTGCTAATATACTGTTTACATTATTAACATTTTTCTACATGACCCGGAAAGTTTTTACTTTTTCTATAAGATACAAGTTATATTTGTAACTCCACTTAAACGTCGCTGATTTCCAATGAAATTAAGTGGATATCTAATTGAAACAAAATTCCAGAATCTCCGATTTACTCGATTGGCTAATATAGGAAATATCAAAATCTACAACCATTTGAAACACGCCTCACCTTCTATTCAAAGAATTGAGGAATCCAGTCAAATATACTAAGCATAGTGAAGACATTTTTACCACATTTTTATCACATTTAAAGATATAATTAATCTTCTATTAACTATATACATATGGCATGGTAAGTATTTAATATCTAAGAAGTATATTTCGCACACGAGAACGGTCGATACCTAAATCAATATATTTAGGAGTAGTTCTACTTAGATCAATATCTCGGCAATGAAACTCAAATTTTGATCAAAAGTAAATACGACTGTACTCATTGAAATCATAAATTGGCATTTGATGGTTGAATTAGTTTTATTTCACCTAAACAGATAATCGTCGGACATTGCGGACAATTGAAGTTGGCTTATAGGACTCGGGTGATAAAGCATTGTAAATTATAGATAATGTCTTGATATTAAGTCCTAAATTATTGACAATTTATATTTTCAGAATATTTGCCCGCGCGAAAAATTACTTTAATCAAGCACAGAAAATGTGTGTTTACGGGCATTTAAA